CAATTCAATAAGTAACGCAAATAAATAAGGCAAGGTAAGAGAAGCTTAAATTTGTTGAGGTCACTAGTTAATTCAGTGTAATCCTGCCCTTTTTTATTAGCATAATATAATATTTAAGGCTAGCACATAAGGCTTTGTGATATGAATATTCGTGTGTGCATGTGCATTGGTTCTCAAATTACCCGCTTAACAGTATTATGGCATGTAGAGGAAAGAATCACGTAAATCAGATAAATGATCAAGAAAATACACGTTCTAAACACTGCACGGACAACTCACGTGCTAACAATAGAATCTGCACGGACAACTCACGTGCAATATAGATAACTCATATGTTAATAATATCAATATATGGATCCGTACGGATAACTCACGTACTGCACGGACAATGCACGTGCCAATAATATCAATACATGGATCTGCACGGACAACTCACGTGCTACACGAACAACTCACGTGCTAATAAAATAATCCACCCGGCATAGTCACAGGCCCAGTCCAAAATATCATACAGGAGAAATAAGCAAGTATACATGTATATAACAGATGAAATACGATTCTCCTACCCCTGGACTGGTGTAAATAACATGCTAAAGTGTAGGCATGTGCAAAGTGTGCTATCGTAGCTCAATCCGGCAATTTTGTAAATGAAAAGCATTTATCAAGTTCGTTCAAGGATTAAACCTCTAAGTAGACTCATCATGGCTCAATTAGATTACATAAACTCTTACCACATGATAGATATCGAAGCTCGAAGCTTAACAGTCATTTCTGAACTTATGGGATCCCGAACACAACCCAAACATGAATATACAATCCCGGTGCTCGCACATGGGATCATCCCCGTGCATGTGCTCACTCAAAAGCACGTTACTATCACAACAATGCAGACAATGGGTGCCTCAACGGAGTTTAAATACGATACTTACCTCAAGCAACCCGAATCACTCTGCTAGCAAGCCATTGCATTACGAATCGGCCTCTGAACATCTCGAATCTAGCCATAAACAATTTGATATAATCGACATGAGCTAAAGAAATCAATTCCATAAGAAAATACTAAGTCCTTAATCAAATATCAAAAAGTCAACTCAAAAATCAGTCAACGGGCCCACATCTCGGAATCCAAAAAAAGTCACAAAATCCGGAAGCACATTCAACCACGAGTCTAACCATACCAAATTTACCAAAATCCGACATCAAATCGTCACTCAAATCCCCAAGTTAAACTCTCCAAATCTCTAGCCTCAAACTCCCAAATTCCACCTCAAAAATACACAAACTAGGTGAAAAATTAAATGGAAAAATATATTTTTTGAATAAAAATAACCACAAATGAATTACCTCACAAATCCTTTCGAAATCCCCTCAAGAATCGCCCAAATCCGAGTTTGCAAAGTCAAGAAAAGATAAAACCCTCGGAACTTAATGTTTATATTTCTGCCCAGGCTTTCAGCACCTGCGAAAACTTAACTGCATATGCGGTGTCGCAGAAGCGACAATTCTTTCACTTTTGCAGTGAACCACTAAAATTCAACCTTCGCACATGTAGATCATGCTCCGCTTCTGCGCAAACGCAGGTGTGACCATCTCCCCGCTCTTGCGGTGCCCTTTCGCTTCTTCGCTCAACCTTTCCGCATCTGCGACCACGCAGGTGCGGATAATTCTTCACACCTGCGACTACAACATTCCTTACTCCTGGCCGTATCTGAGCATCACAGCTCGGACCTGCGACCAAAGCTCCACAGGTATGATTGCACCAGAAGACTCCAGCTGTAGCACCCCTTATAAATCCAAATTTGATCGGATAATCATCTGAACTCCAGCCGAGGCCCCCGGGACCTCAATCAAAAATATCAACAAGTCCTAAAATACGATACGAACTTAATCGAGCCTTCAAATCACATCAAACAATGGTAAAACCACGAATCGCGCATCGATTCAAGCGAACTTTTGAACTTCTATCTTCTACATTCGATACCGAAACCTATCAAATCGCATCTGGCCTCAAATTTTGCACACAAGTCATAAATGACACAACTGGTCTACTCCAACTCCCGGAACTTCAATCCGATCCCGGTAACCACAAAGTCACTCTCGGTCAAACTTCTAAATTTTTAACTTTCGTCATTTCAACCTAATTCAACTACAGACCTCCAAGTCACAATTCGGACACGCTCCTAAGTCCAAAATCACCCAACGAAGCTAACAGAACCATCAAAACTCCATTCCGGAGTTGTTTACACATAAGTCAATATCCGGTCAATCTTTTCAACTTAAGCTCTCAACCTTAGGACTAAGTGTCTCAATTCATTCTGAAACCTCTCCGGACCAGAACCAACTACCCTGGCAAGTCACATAGCAGTTATAAAGCATAAAATGAGCAGTAAATAGGGAACGAGGCTACAACTCTCAAAACGATCGGCCAGGTCGTTACAATAAGTTAAGCGAAAGTCTAAAAAAAATAATCAATTAATTAAATAGTCAGTAATTTAATTTAATTAATTAGTATATAAATCTAAACATGGGAAGTTAAATAAGATTTAATTGATAAATTTTGAAGAGTACAATTACGAATTTTTAGTGGAATAATTCATAATTCTTTATGGTGAATATTAATTTCAAAAATTATAATTAATTCCATAATTGGAAGTCTTGTTAATTAAATTCCGTGATCCCTAGTGTGCCCTAATAATAGGAAACAAAGGAATTCTATTCTTGATGGAAAAGAAAACCCAACACATTTTAGAAAAGGGTTTTAACACTTAAAACTTGTGTTATAAATACATACGGTTCTCCACCTAAGGAGAAGGAGAGAAGGCGGCTGAAAATTTCAGCCTATTTCCTAGAAAATTTCACCCATACGAAATGACTATTTTCAGATATTATTTGGGTAACACAATAGATAGCCGTGGAACGTTCGGGGATCGTGATCGTGTGGGTGATGGAGATTCTATTGAGAAGATGTGGAACTGAAAGTTCACGTGATAGAAGAGTGGTGTTCACACTTCAAGAGGTAACCCGTGAAAACTTCGTATATGCTAGTTGTCTAGATTACATGTGATTTTGATACTAAAATTGTTTCCACTGCGTATAATATTCCATCAAAACGAGTCATTAAAAATTGAGTAGGTAAATAAATGTCGGAAGAGAGGTTCAAACTCAGAACTTTCCACTTGATCTGAACTTTAATAAATATTCACAAATTGTAATATTTACCATATATAGAGAGAATTATTTTTTGGCATAAGGTAATGTTCGCCTAACCACACTTAGGACCAGGGGCGGAGCTAGAAGTTTGTATACGAATTCGGCTGAATCCGGTAATTTTTGCTCGAACAATGTATTTATGTTAAAAATAATTAAATATGTAAAAAAATATTGAATTACGAACCCAATTATTAATTTATTCCGGAAAAATTTACATTATGAAGTGTTCATTAATAAAAGCGACTTCATACTCAATGGTTTGAAAATTTTCATACGAAACTTATAATTAAAGATAAATGAATACTTACAACTCCATCAATATCCTTATTTCTATCATAAAAAGAGCTTTACTAAGACGTTGATGACTCCCCCTCCCCCAAAGGCGTTGTAGTTTCTCTATGTGTTCTTCGCGCCTCTAGGATTTGCACCTTTTTTTCTTCTCGGTCCAATTAATCATTATACGCTTAATAGCAGATCATATCTTCTCATTATATATCATCTCTCTATTTCAGAACCGAATTTCGTTAGTCGAGTTTGTAGATTTATATTAAGATAGCATTTTTTTTAAAATTATTCCTACTATTTTGTGTCTTGGACGTTTTTGGACATGACTATATTTAACATTTGGTTTGAAGAGGTTTTAACTACTTAAGTTGGTGATAATTCATTTGATTTAGTTTGTACTTATTTCTTTTCGAAGATTTTGATATTTTGTTAGAATACATCACTTTCTATTCTATTGTTCAAATAAATAGCTTTAGATATGTTTACAGTTTGAGTCCTTTTTGGGCATACATTTTGTTTTTTCCTGTTTGAGGTTTTAATTGATCTTTAATGTTGTGATGTGATTAATTATCGATTTACAATTTTTCCAAATGTCTTGCCTCATGATAATAAATTTGAATTGAATATGATTCCATTGAAGAATTTCATGTTCAATTCACAACTCATTCGGCTAAAATCACTTTGCTTGAAGAATATTGATCTACGCATAAACTGTTTGTTATTGGATTATGATGTTCTTATTACATATTTTGTTTCCTAATTTCTCTCTAAAGTATTCATGGTTACAACGGTAGAGAAGCCTATCGAGAAGAAGCTGCCGGCTGAGTTAAAGTAGTCAATAAAAATCACACTATAATATTCTCAATTCAAAATCCTGATCACACCATATTCATGCAATTATTAACTAAATGCATGGAATACTTTTAGTTTTACCTGACCCTTATATTAATTTATTTTGTTCTTCACAAACTGGAAATAAAATAGAAATATGAGTTTAAATATACATTTTAGTATGAAAACACACACACACACACACACATATATATATATATATATATNTTCTAAAAATATTACTCCCTCTATCCCATGTTACTTGATACAATTTACTGGACATGGAAGGTAAATGAGAAAGACTGTGAAACTTATGATTTAAAACAAATCATAAACATTTATATGATTGCAAATAATCTCATTAGAGATAAATTGAAAATTTTAAAACTAAATTATTTCAAAATATAAAAAGATATCGTTCTGCTTTAGACAGACTAAAAAAAAGAATTCCATCAAATTAATTAGAACAAGGGGAGTAGTAGTTACATAGAGACAATTGTAGCGTGCACAATTTTATTACATGTGAACATCATTTAAATAGGAATGTTGCACAATTAAGTTCTCTTTGAGAAAACGGTTCCTTAAGAAGTATCTCATTTTAAAACTACAAATACGTAGGCATCGCTTTTATATCGATTCAATTACAAAATGAAAGATTTGAACTAGCATGGATATAAACTCAAAAAACATAACACAATTAAGATCAGAACGCTAGCAGGATAGTTTGACTTTCTCATCCGCGTGTGCGTGTTAATATAAGCAAAGCATAAAATGATAGAGAGCATACACAGCTAGGCATCTTCATGTATTTTGACTGATACAACCGTATCCACTGGTATATGAGTAAAGTTTCCAATACTAACAAATTAGGGCTAGCATTTGCAATAACAATTGACAATTACCGTAAATCAAAACCTCAAAAAGATAACGCAAAAAACTGCTACCCCAAGAGCAGCAAGAACTCAACATCCATCATATATGTTCTTCATTCATCTTGAGGTGTGACATCTGCTTTTCCACATCTGTAACAATGCACGAACACGTTAGTAGGTTCGTAGTTATCTCCTGAAAATACAAACACCCCAATGCATGTCGAAAGCTAAAGTGAGACAAAAGCCTAGTATTTATGTGGATAAGGATAGAAGGACAATGTCCATTATCCACCGAGAAGAAGTTTTTTATAGCTTTTCTTCTACAGCTACCGTTCACGCCAAGCAAGCATCCAATCACAGTTCTGGGCATTGTCCAATTTATTCCCTGTAAAAGACGTAAAAATTCTCCAAGTCCCTTGCCATTTAACAATGCAATATCATGTAACTCACCCTCCCCTTTTAAGGATATATTCTCAAGATTCTTTTTGAAACCTGTGCTACTTCAACTCTCTAAGCATCTTCAGAGGAGTCACCCATGGATTTTAACAACTTCTAGCAGCACTCATTCTTCTCTTACTTCTCAATATTATTCCACCACATAAAGATCGACTTCACATACATAATGTTATAAACAGCATTTATCTATGATTATTTTAAATGCTATATGTTTCACTGGCAGCTAAAACTTAGCTCAAACATAAGATCATAGCCTAAGTTTACAAGCATATTTACTTATTTTCTACAGCTCACCAAGATTAGCCCCATCCCACAAACCCACCCAAGAACAACCTAGTAAACTGTATTCGAAAAGATTCCTCAAAAGTAGGTCACCCAAAGCCACTGCTTGGTCAACAGCCACTAGCATGGATATTACTAACTATTCTATGATACTGGTGCTCAAGGTAGCTTTCATGCACCTTGACTATTCCACCAGGGACTTACATCCTTCCATTAGTACAAGTAATTAGTAACTCTATCCACCAAGATTAAAGAAGTTCAATTGGAGATCAATCAGTTGAACAGTTTTTATTCCCTTTTTTTGGGACAAGTAAATTAGTCAGCTAGCTGTCAGCACAATCCAAGACTTATCTTAACCATCCATCTGATATCAAACACTAATGCCAGCACATATCACTCAGAGGAAAGAATGGAGGCAATCTTTACCTTCTTTGGAAGGTGGCTCATCCTGTGGTTTCATGGTTGGAAGGAGTAGAACTTCCTGTTGAACAAATTATAACAAGGGAAAGAAAAAAAGATTTCAGTATCTAATTTAAATGATAGGAAACACTAGCTTTCTCAAAAGGAAGTGACAAGAAAAAGAGAGTGAGGGAAATGCCAAGACAACACTAAGTTGGCAAAAGACCGGCCCTTGTGGCCTCTTCTCTGCACGCTGTCCTCTCTCCATCCATTTAGAAATGGATGTGAAACAACTGATTGGAACTGAATGATCATTTCATCTTAGTTAAAATAAGATGACCCTTGAGTTCAACTATACCCCAAATAGATTGGAACTAAGTGGTCATTTCAACAGTCCATTCCCTCAGCCAATGTGGGATACTCTGACATTCCTAAATAGATTGGAATAAGTTGGCATTTCTTTCTAACAGAGAAAACAACTGAAGGCACAAACCTTGATGTTTTGTGAATCTGTCAACAACATTACAAGTCGGTCAATACCCAATCCCCAACCACCAGTAGGAGGTAATCCATACTCAAGAGCCGTACAAAAGTTCTCATCCAGTACCATAGCTTCACCATCACCTGAGTGACGGTCCTGAGTTGACAGTAATTATGCTGAAATTAGTTTTGCATAAGAGAAATGATACAAGAGGATGAACACAACACAAACACCATCAGGATGCACACTTTGTACAGATACCTTGAGTTGATCAGCAAAACGCTGGCGTTGGACAACAGGGTCATTCAATTCAGTGTATGCACTGCAAAGCTGCCAAGTTATTTAGCAGAGAAGAAGCACATTACATCTTGCATTGGGAGTGCTAAAAACAGTTTGAAAGACATGATAGACAACATACTTCATGCTTGTTTATAAGCAATTCAAAACGTTCTGTCAGGCCTGGTTTCGATCTGTGCCACTTTGCCAAAGGACTCATTATCTCGGGATGGTTGAGAATAAAAGTAGGGTTAACACATGTCTCCTCCAGAAAGTGCCCCACAAGCTGAATTCACATCCAAAAAAAATAGAAAGAGAATTAGCATCAACTTCATAAAGCTTCTAAGGTGAAAAAACTGGTAATAATAGCAGCGACTCCCATAACTTCATCACCAATAAATGCACATATAGGAAATATCATTACATATTTCTCAAAGTTACATGCAAAAAAGCAGACATGTAACAGATTGATTCACGACCAATTCAACAAGGGGGCTCCAACTTGATCTCATATTTAACGATTCACAAAAACTTCTATTGCCAAAAACGCATATTACAGGACAAATGTCACAGATACTACAGGATTTGACAGTAATATAGCTCTAAACCACTAGCAATCATTTTCATCTCTATTTCTTTTTTTCTAAAATATGATAGGTTTTCATTCCTCTTTATTTTCTCTCACATTTTCTTTTTGCCTTTTTTCCACAACCCTCTCTAACCTTTTGCTGTCTCACATAGGGGTGCTCGTGGAGAGGACAGAAGTGGATGGCCTCATCCATTAGAACTTTCCTTCATTCATCTGAAGACAAAGCCCAGGAACTGAAAGATTCTCGAACATCAAAATATCCCACTAGAGAGAAGTATTACAAGCAAGGACACAAAAGATAAGCGGACCAGTAGTGAAGAGCGAATTTCTACATTGCATCTACAAAAATTGACTATTGGGAAGCAACGGCAGGAAAAAATTTACTTTATCAAGTAATCTAGCTGTTGTTTGAGGTGGAGGACATTCGATCTCAAACTTTGCACAAGCATCTATGAGATATTTGTTAGCTTCATCACTTGAGAGATCCTTGGGTATATTCAAGTTTGCGACCTTCTCCAATTCCTCTACCATATCAATCCTTCTGCAAAAGCAAGAGCATAAATACCTTGGTGCAACACAACATAACAGAAAAGCTTCCAAACTTGCCAAACCTGAAGGGAGGAGTTAAATCTATCTCAACTGGGTCACTCTCCAGCCCCTTTGCGTGATACTTGATTATATAGCTACCTGTAAGTTCCTTCACCATCCCTGTTCATGTATTGTTAGTAAGATAAAACTATAAAAGAACAAATAACATGAAAAGATTAAATATTTAAGCCTCCAACATAACAATTGGATCCCAGTTTTTTTGGTACTAACCACTTAACATTTTTTCAGTTAAATCCATCAAGTCATTGTAATCCGCATATGCCATATAAAACTCGCAAGTGGTGAATTCAGGATTGTGCGTCAGGTCAATCCCCTCATTTCTGAATTGTTTCCCAATCTCATAGACACGATCAAATCCACCAACAACTAGCTGTTTAAGATATAGTTCAGGAGCAATACGCATGAAAAGCCTCATATTCAATTCATTGTGGTGGGTCACAAATGGACGTGCAGCTGCTCCACCAGCAATTATGTGCATCATGGGGGTCTCTACCTGTTACAAATATGATTATACATTTTAATTCGTTCTATTCAAGCTAAGCTCATAATCTCAAATTAACAAAGGCAAAGTAAAACAGCTTCATAAACACTGACCTCTAAGAAGCCTAGACTATCAAGAAAACTTCGGATATGAGTTATGATCTTTGCACGGGTCTTAAATATACGCCGAACCTCTAAGTTTAGCATGAAATCCAAATAACACTGTCTATGTCGTGGTTCCTGGACATAAAGAACAAATGCACCACAAGAACAGGTCAGAGGCATAAAACCTTATTAAAGGAAATGGGAAGAAGGCAAGGCAATTTGAAAAAAATTAAAAGCATAAGATACCTGATCTTTTAACGCATATGTTTCTGGATTTTGGCCACTTTCCAGGACCCGTGCTTCAGTTTTCTGCAGCACAATTATATATAGTTCGATTAAACTGGTCTTAGATACAATGCAAAATAAAGGTCACTAACCTTAGTTGTATCCATCGGGGTATCTTTCTGCCGTGGCAACAAACGAAGACAATGAGACAACACTACAAATGATTTGGGATAAATAGTCACCCCTCCCCTTTTTCTGTTTCCTGATGAATGAGGTAGGAAGAATTAGAAAAATATGTTACCAAACCTAAAGATAAGTAGTATCATTTTCTGTAGCCTGAGATCTTTGCAGTGCAGACAGCAATATTCGAAGTAAGAAACTATAGCAAAATCTAGAAACCTGAATGCATGTAAACACAAGAAAATGTTTTGTATCAACAATGCACAACTTGTTTTTTAACACCAAAACCAGAACTACCACAGAGAAAATCTGCCATAAACTAACAGGATCTAAAGAGTCCAAACCTGGAAACCCAACAACTCCAACAACATCTCCACGCTTCAAACCAGAATGAAATTTAGTAAATTCCTCTGCAACCAACTCAGAGCTACTGCATATGAATCAAGACGTAATACTTCTCAGATAAAAAGTAACTTAATCACTTAAGCAATTCAGCAAACACTAGAGTCTTACGACCAGAATTTCACAACAATGCATTGAAACTGTTGATGATGCCACTGATTTCAGCCATGAAGTTGCACAAGCTTGTTATAATCACATTTCCTGGATCTCTAGTCTATGGTACGAAAATAAAAGGATAACGAAGATTCAATACGGAGACAAACATAGATGCCACCCTTTGGCTCCTAAGGAAAACTGCCCGGCACCTACTAGGGCATCTTGGCCATTTATCGCACTTTGTTATAGACTTAAGTGAAATATAAGGACGATCATGATAGAGATATAAGCTTGTAAGCATGCATCCCAAGAGGATATGACAGAGTGCCATATAAATGATGATGGAGAAGAAAGGATTCATATGAAATATATAGTATATAGAACTGAGCACAGTGAACACTATAGTTTCCATAACTGGAGGTATATTGCACGTATTGCCTTCAGCCTGTATTTGTTTACAAATTATAGAATACATTTACCAATAGCCTGCAAGATAAGGTTCCATGATACATACTATTTGCAAATGATATTGTGTTAATTGACGAATCTAAGGAGGGTGTCAGCTAATCTAGAACTGCGAAGAAGCACTCTAGAAAGTAAGAAAAAGTGAGAAATAATCTATGAAGTGCAATTTATCCCACATAAATAGAATGATGGTGAAGTGAGATTCAACAAATTTATGATGCCTAAGAAAATTCAGATATCTCGACTTAATCTTCCTAAAGAATAGCTAGCATGATAGACAAAGATGTAACACATAGAAGGTAAATAAGATGATTGAAATGGAGAATGATACAGAACTGCTAAGCAATAGGAAGATACCTAACAAGGTGAAAATTCTGTTATACGTACCATTTATAAAATATCATTACTTATCAAACAAAAAACTAAACAAAGTGAAATGCATGTTTTATAAGATAGTGGTAAGATTAATAATGTTATATAGAAGATAAATGATAACATTCAAAAAAAAAAATTTAAGATCACAGTAAAAAGATAAAGGACAGCAGGTCTACTAAGATAGTTTAGCCATGTCGGACGTGGGCCTCTAAATGTACTGTTCATAGCGACCAACACTATTCTTCTGAGTTAGAAAAGAGAAAAAATATGATCAAAATAAAAAATGCACTACTAAAGTAATACCGCAAGAGTACTTAGGGTACAATAAATTGAAAAATGCAGGGAGCTTCAACTCTTATCTACCCAAACCTTTTGGCGTAAATTAAACCCAGAAAACAACAAAAAGATTATATTAATATAACCACCTCATATGTGCCATAACTAGGACGTTGGCACCTTCACCCTGTAAATCATAGCAAAACAGCATTGCAGAAGACGCACGTTTGTTCAATATCCTTCCTACACAAAAGACAATAAGATGTAAGTTTCTAATATTTTTCTACAAAAGGGAAAAAAAAATGCTGTAAAACTGACCCGCCAAGGCCTCGAGTTGATCCCCAATAAATTGTGGAGTCCCTAAAACTCCATATTTCTTCACATATTCAGGGACGTACAAAGTCAGATGGAACTTGTGTGGGTAAGGATTCCGACCATTTGCCTTCTCAGCTGCAACTACTTTCAGCATATTTTCATAGTATTGCTGCAAAAACTCATACCCGAATTAAAATAATTTCAGGATTCTCAAATGTGTTTTCAAGGAAACATATAGTCATTTTTCAACTTTCAGTACAGTAAAAATATCACCAAAAAAAATACAAAAACAAAAAAAACAACGCTCACCTTCGGATCCATGCCCTCGTCATCTTCAGCTACAGAATACTTCTGCTTCTGCTTCTCAGCATTCTGCTTCTGCTTCTCATACTGAGAGCTTTCAGCGTTTTGTGGTGTGTCCATCAAGAGAGAGAAAAAACCGACTTGACTGGCTTTGGAAAAATGTTTGCTTCGGCTGAATGTAGCGATTATGGAGAAGACTGGCCAAGAATTTCAAAGTTATTACACTTTGCTGCAAGTTCGCTGCAAGTTCTCTTAATTATAGATTGCCCTTTTTAGTTCCCATATTTTTAGTTTAGTCCCTTTTTTATTTCTAGCCAGTCCCTAAAAGTGGCCATTGTCTTTAGCTGCCACGCACTGTCACACTGGCAGTGAGAGCAGTAACAGCATATAGTGGAACAGTGAGATTGTGTATATACGGTTGTACGGAAAATGCTACCCGGGAAACACCAAATAAGAAAGTAAAATTTTGAGATAACAACAATACTATTGCATAGTATTAAGCTAACGTTTGGTCATAGATTCTTAAATTTATTTTAAAAAATTTAATTTGGGCGAAATTTGGTTTGAAGATGAAAATGTATTTTTGGACAGTTTTCAAAATATATTTCACTTTTTTTTTTAAAACATGAAACATGACTTACACCCACAAGTTTTAAAAACTATCACAAATACCCAACAGTACATTCATCAATAATATTCATTATATTATCGCAAACCATAGTCCTGAACATAAATAAATTTGGTATAAAATTATTATTTTTATAATGAACTACATAATACACTAGCAGATGACTCAGAAGACGAAGCAGCATTGTTACAAAATAATAAATTGTGGGCTCTTTTATAAAATACAAAAGTTTGGGGCAATTTTTAAAAATATAATTTTGGGCCAAAATCAGCTCTTGACCTGGATTTGGGATTTAGGAATTTGTCAAAATATGAATAAAATTTATGAACAAATATGTATTTGCCAAAAAAAAATTAAATATATTTTGGCAAAATCTATGGCCAAAAGGGTCCTAAATCTAAACACTTGAAAAGCATATTTTGTTAAGAAATAAAAGCAATTTAGTAAAACATGAACAAGAAATGGAGATAGAGAGAAGAAAGAGATTTTCTTCTTCAATTATATGTTTTTACCTATCTATTATATAGGCATGAAAAGTGAAAAATTATTATTATAAATAGTGAGTGGAATGGCCACTTTTTAGCGAATTGCCACTATTGAGAGAAATGACCATTATTGAGTGGAATGGCCAATATACAATAAATGTAATGGGGTTCAACATTGACATCCACTCTCTCAAACTATTTACACCCCCCCCCCCCCCCCCCCCCCCCGGATGTTCATGTAATTTACTAGAAAAAAGTACATAGTTATATGTAATACGCATTACTTGTTGCCTCGTTAAAAACTTACCAGGAAAATTCAGTGGGACAAAACCTTGGTTAAGGAAAAAAGAGTGCAGCGCGTAGTTACTCCCCCTGAAGAAAATATCACTTAATGTCTTATAACGACCCGACCGGTCGTTTTGAGTGTTGTAGCCCGTTCTCCCATTTACTATTTATTTTATGCTCAATTGTTGATATGTGACTTGATGGGGTAGTTGGTTTGGTTCCGGGGATGTTTCGGAATGAGTTGATACACTTTGTCTCAAGGTTCCAAGCTTAAGTTGAAAAGGTTGATCGGATGTAGACTTATGTGTAAATGGATCCGGAATGGAGTTTTGATGGTTTCGATAACTCCGTCGGGTGATTTTGGACTTAGGAGTGTTTTCAGATAATGATTTGAAGGTCGGTAGATGATTTAGGCTTGAAATGGAGAAAGTTGAAAAATTAAAAGTTTTGAAAATTGAGAAGTTTGACCGAGAGTTGACTTTGTGGTTACCGGGCTCGGATTTTTGTTCCGAAAGTTGGAATAGGTTCGTTGTGTCATTTATGACTTGTGTGCAAAATTTGAGGTCAATCGAACGTGATTTGATAGATTTCGGCATCGATTGTAGAAGTTAGAATTTCTTAGTTTTCGTTAGGCTTGAATTGAGATGTGATTCGTATTTTTGATGTTACTTGATGTGATTTGAGACCTCAACTAAGTTCATATCAAGATTTAGGACGTGTTGGCATAATTGGTTGAGGTGCCGAGGGCCTCAGGTGGATTTCGGATTGTTAACAGATCAAAAACTTGACTTGAAGAATTGCTGGAATTTTCCCTACTAGTGTAATCGCACCTGCAAAGGATTTGATCGCAGGTGCAATTAAGCAGGGGCGGCTGGCTAAGCGCAGGAGCGAAACTGGGGCTGGCCTGGGGTGTGTCGCAGGTGCGAGAAAGCATCCGCATCTACGAGCCCACAGGTGCAAGCAAGGCTCCGCAGATTCTAACAAGTGGAAGGGGAGCCGACTTTGTAGAAGCGAAGGGATTTGCGCAAGTGCGACTCCGCAGAAGCAAAGGCAATGGCCTTCATGGGCAACCGCAGAAGCGGAGAATTTTTGCCGTGCCCGTGAAGCCGCAGATGCGGCTAAGTTGGTCACAGGTGTGAAGGGCCCTAGACAAAATATATTCGAAGGGGTTGTGGGATTTTGGCATTTTTGTACATTTCAAGCTCGGACTAAGGCGATGTTTTAGAGGGATTTCGAGGGGTTTCTTTAGGTAACTCATTTATGATTATTTTTATTCAATAATATTGTTTCCCCATTGAATTTCTCATCTAGTTTGTGTGTTTTGAGGTGAAATTTTGGAAGTTTTGGGGTAGGGATTTGAGAGTTAAATTTGGAAATTTGAGTGATGATTTGGTGTCTGATATGAGTAATTTTGATATGGTTGGACTCGTGGTTGAATGGGCTTTTGGATTTTGTAACTTTTATCGGATTCCAAGATGTGAACCCGGGGGTTTACTTTTGAGTTGACTTTTTGACTTTTGATTAAGAACTTAGCATTTTTATATGGAATTGATTCCTATAGCTTGAGTTGATTATATCGAACTGTTTGTAGCTGGATTCGAGACATTCGGAGGCCATTTCGTGAGGCAAGGGCTTGTTGGAGTAGAGTTTTGCACGTCTTGAGGTAAGTAACACTTCTAAACTTGGTTTTGAGGATATGAATCCCTGAAATTACGTGCTATGTGAATGGTGTTAAAGTGACGTGCAAGCTAGGTGACGGACGTGTGGGCGTGTACTATAGAAATTGTGATTTAGCCGATTCCATGGAACTGCGTAGCTATCCTATCTAAATATTATTATTGTAGTCTATGTGTTAGAGTACTTGAGTTGTGATTTATAATAGAAATCATGTTTAGGCTATGAGTTGGTACTATTGGGACTCACAGTGGTCGTTCTCTGCTGTTTAGTTATTTGCTTAATTGAAGTTATGTACTCAGTCGTATTCATCATTGCATATCATATCTCAGTCTCGGTTATCATATATTTTCACATCTTGCACCATTGATTTGGGATGCCTAGCATGAGTGTTGTGAGCCTGAGAGACTGGAGATTGATGGTTGAGTGAGGCCGAGGGCCTATTTGTGAGTGATATTTATGGGATCGGGTTGCACGCTGCCGTAGATTTTATTGATTCATGCCAGGATTTGGCTTATTATAGCGCTTGGGCTGGATCTTCCCCTCCGGAGTCTGCACATCCACAATGAGCGCAGTTGCTACTGATTCGCGATATTTGATTTGGGCTGGATCTGCCCCGTATGTTTCTGAGTGATTGAGTGTGATGAGTGAGAACTGATACAGTCAGATTGAGTACTCCGAGAGTGTAAGTTGTTCATTGTGTTGCATCACATATGATATGCATATTGACATGTAGATATAGAGATGTCATATTCCTTATATCATTCAGATTGACATATTTTATCTGTTGTGAGTTTAATTGTTGGAAGCATGCCTACATTCTTGTATTGGTACCTGCAAATTATGAGTTTCTCTGAGATATTACTTTCATATGTTTTGTAAATTTCCGGACTGTTTAATTATGTATTTGGACTGTATAGTTCGAACTCGTCACTACTTTCAGTCCAAAAGTTAGACTTGTACTTATTGAGTTGGTTGTACTTACGCTACACCCTGCACTTCGTGTGCAGATCCAGGTATTTTCGGGAACGGTCATTTTTTATCCCAGAGTTTTCAGTCGTTCAGAGATTATCGAGGTAGCTGCCTTGGCGTCCGCAAACCTTGACTCTCCTCCCATATCCCTCAGTTTTACTTATTCAGTTTTATTTTTGTAGACAGTGATCAGACTATGTATTTGTATAGATGCTCTTGCACTCAGTGACACCCGAGTTTTGGGAAAATTTGTATTGAGCTGTGACGTTTTCATTCAGTTTTATGAGACTTTTACTTACTTAAGCTTATTTTCGAATATTTTACATTTCAAGATGTTGGTATATGTGAGTTGTCGGCTTGCCTAGTATCATGATAGGCGCCATCATGATACTTAGGATTTTAGGTCGTGACAGTCTCGAAGATGACGCATTCCAATCTTGTATATTAGCTTCTCAAATGTTGCGGTTGGTAATTGTCACCACCCAAACATCCCACCTTGAGGATCGTGATGGCACATAATCTCTATGACTAGGTAAGCCTAATGCATAAAGAAGAACCACAGAATATCATCAATAACTGAATAGCATGACTAAACTGAATATCAGTTATACAACCCCAAACTTGGTGGAACCGAGTCATAAGCTCTAATACAGGACTAAAATCCCTAAATACATTACTGTTCAAGAATGAGAATAAATAGCAATAATGAAAACAACAGAAGGTGGCTCTGAGGCCTGCGAACGCAATAACAGGTGTACCTTGAAGTCTCTGCAACAACACTAACAACTATCTATCAAGCGGTAAGCTCCAAATCACCTGGATCGTGCAGAAGTATAGTACGAGTACATTACAACGGTACCCAGTAAGTATCAAGACTAACCTCGGTGGAGCAGTGACGAGGTAGTCCAGACACCTACCAGACATAAAACATGTACAAAATATAGAACTACTACTAGCGGGGGGTAAACATGTTGTACATAATAAATTTGCGTCGAGAAAATAATCGAAATCGAAAGATATTGCAACAATCGTAGTACTTTATTTAAAATAATATGAGTGTACAATCTCTATGGATCCTCTGATTCTTCTTTCCAATAGTAAATAAATTCAAAAGCCTTTGAG